CAAAGCAAAGGGGCACTAGTTAACTGGGGGTCGACAAATAGTGACCACCATAACCGTGTCGCAAAACACACAACGAGATAACATGCTATGGTTTACTTGCGTGCCTTATGGGCCTGGCAATGCAGGGTTACCCTGACGCAGGCCCTTAAGAAGCAACTCGATTGGTTTAAATTCAATGTGACACTCACTCCTGACAACACACGAGCCAACTAGCTATGCCTTGCTTGTGCTCCCTGACATAGCAAGGATGTCACCCAACCATGTAGCTGGAGTGCCTTATACAGCCCCTCCAAAGCAACGGGGCACTAGGAAACTAGGAGCACAGAAATGCTGACCACCCTAACCAGCTTGCAAAACACAGGAGGGAATAACATGGCATGGCTAAGTAGGTTGCCCTATGGGACCTGGCAATGCAGGGTTACCCTGACGCAGGCCCTTAAAAAGCAACTGGAGCATTTTATAGTCAAAATCACATGTAGGACAACCAGCGCATCAGGACTCTAGATAGCACCAAAGCCAAAGAGCTATGCCTTGCTTCTGCTACCTGTCATAGCAAGGACGTCACCCAGCCGGGTTGCTAGGGTTGCCTTATAAAGCCCCTCCAAAGCAATGGGTCACTAGTATACTGGGAGTAGACAAATGCTGACCACAACAACCTTGCAAAACACACAAGGGAATAACATTCTATGGTTTACTTGCTTGCCCCGTGGGACATGGCATGCAGAGTTACCCCGACGCAGCCCCTTAAAAGCAACTGGATTGTTGTAAATTCAGTGTCATACGCATGATAACGTGCACATCTGGACTGCAGACAACACACGAGCCAACGCACGAGCTGTGCCTTGGCCGTGCTGGCTGGCATAGCAAGGATGGCACCAAGCCAGCAGGTTGTTGGGGCCACCTTATACAGCTCCTCCAAAGCAACAGGGCACTAATAAACTAGGAACACGTAAAAGCTGACCACCATAACCGGCTTGCAAACCACACAAGAGGTAATATGCTATGGTTTGTAGCAATGCATTGTTACCTTGACACAGGGAACGATCCTTTTAATCACGTCACACACACGATAACCAGCATGTCAGGACTGCAGACAACACACAAGCCCACAAGGTATGCTCACCAAGGTAGCCCACAAGGCTCGCTCTGCCAGCATTTGACGTAAGCAGCAGAGGAAGGCTGCAGCTCTGCCTTTGCTGAGTCCTGCTGATATGACTCAAAGCTTACGCATAGACTTGCCAACAGCTGACCCACCCCAGCATGGCGCCACTATTTACTCCAGTTAGGCTATCCATGCTTGCCTCCACCAATCGCCTGGCATGAAGCGTACCAACCATGACTACTAGGTTTGCAACACATGACCCATGGCCTATAGTAGCCGCTACTTTGTGGCATCTACCTGCGAGCAGCCACCTGCAAACACTACGATCTGCGCAACAGCCGCTCAAAGCGGGCGTAGATGGGTACGTGATCGGAAGCTGAAGACCAGAGTTGTCCGGCTGCCTGGGGCTGCAGGCTGGCGCAGATGTGGTCAAGTTGGCGCCCATTGCGGTGGGTTGGGCCCTTTACACAGAGCCCAAGACGCCAGCGGCCGCAGAAGGCCAGCTAATCAGGGTCATCAGCTCCCAAGTTGATGTCGCCCGCCAAGATTATTGCTGGCTTCTGATGGCTGTTGCCATGGGCGGCCAGGTGTGTCATGGCCCGCTCCTCAAGTGCTGCAAACATAGCTTCAGCCCCGGAGCCTGGCTGGCGGTATACTGCAAGAATATATGCCTCTCCCATGGGTGAGTGCACAAGGCTGAGCACGGCGTCGAAGTGCGCCTCACTGCAGGAAGCAAGGTGCTGTAATGGCCACCGGGAGTAATGGCGCCGTGCTGGGGAGGGTCCGCTGTTGGCGAGTCTATGCGTGCAACCTGTGGGAGGCCTGTAACCAGAGGGGCGCGGTGGCGAGCTGTCAAGCGCGTTTCTGTGAAGATCAGCACATCCGCAACCAGAAGGTTGGGGTCAGCTACCGCATCCTCGTGATGGGCCACAAGGCTGCGGACGTTGTGGGCTACAACCGTAAAGGTGTTGGCTGGAGCTGGGTACAGTGGGGTCACAGCCAGGCGCACGCGGGCAGTGGAGCGCAACCGTTCCATTTCCTTCACGACCTCTGGGTCAACGCATATCTTGTCCTCAGCCAGGTCTTCAAGGTAGCCGCCCTCTGGGGAGGTCAGCCGGCTGAGGCCCACGTAGTGCCGCCCTGGTTGTTTGGCAGCGCTAAAGTTGAAGACAGCCTTGTGCAGAGTCATGCCCTGCACAATTCAAGGGAACCAATACGTGATTAGGTAATGGGATTTGCTTCATACTGCTGTTTTGGTGAAGTTGACTGTATGCTGAGCGCAGATGTAGTTGATGCTGACAGTACATAAGCAACCACCCGTAATGCAGCCTGCATGTGTACCCCCTAACTACCGGTAACGAAGGCCCCACCTGCACTCGGTTGAATGTACGGGCGGCAGCAAGGCGGATGGGAAACTGGCTGCGCATGACCTGCAGCTCCTTGCGCCGGCCCAGCTGGAACTTTCGGCTCACTCGCCACACCGGTGTTACCTGCCCAGGGTGGGGCATGCCCTGAAGGTGCTGCTGTGCCATCTGTTGAACACTGTGATTCTGCCGGATGTCTTGGCCAACTCTCTTTTCTGAAAACCGAACCCATAGCATGTCGGGTGTGCAGGTGTTGGCAGCCTCATCCTTGCTGCCGCCGCTGCCGCGGACAAGGACACCGTCTGTGCCATTCGCCATGCCTTGGGGCACGCTGAGGTTGATAACGAGCTCCACGGGCAAGCCCTCGGCAACCATGAGCTCCTTGGCAAGCCCAACCGTTTTGTGGGGATCGGTGGGAATGCTGGCCAGGATTGCAGCTGCTGAGGCGCGTGTAGTGTCTGACACCAGACTATCTGATGCGCTGAGGAAGTAGGCTGTGGGCAGCAAGGCGAGGAGGGGCGAGTTTCGGCAACAAATGTCAGTGTCCGTGCTGGTACATGCTTTGTTCATTTACGACCATGGTCTTCCAGAGGGCCAAGTATCCGCTGCCGTACTTGGATATGCTAAGGTCCGTGCAGGGGCTCATGGGGTTATGTTGTGGCTAACTATACTACATAGCAACTCTTATCACCGTACCTGTGGCTCCGGCAGCATGCGCTTCCTGCACCGCCTGCGCGTTGTACTTGTCGACTTGGGCGTTGTAGGCATATAGCCGAATGGCGTCCCTGGGCGGACGGTGTCGCGCTGTAATGGCCATGACGCGCTTGATGAAGGCCAAGTCCTGGAGCGTGTGCTTCCCCTCGCGCAGGCGGTTCAGGAGATGAGCCCAGTCTGTTGGCAAGGCAAAGGTGTGAATTTTTTTTAGTGTATTTCAGCGACTTGCCTTTTGGCCTACACCTGAAGCTAACCCAGGCCAATTATGCCTTTTACATCCCCAGCATGCATGGCACACAAGCAGGCGTTGGGATTGATCAGGGAGGTATTAGGTATCACACCTGCATTGTCGGTGCGCATCACCGTGAGGAGCTCGTACAGGGTGACGTTGTCGTGCCACAGACTGGGCGCCAGCTCAGCTATTTCGAACTGGCTGCCGTTGCGGGGTGTGCACGAAAATACCCACCTGTCCCGCACTGGGCGGAGCTGGAACAGGTCCCCAACAAACAGGACATGCACCCCGCCAAAGGGCCGCGCAGGTTGACCCATGACATCGCGCAGCCGCTGGTCCATAAAGTGAAGCAGCGCTTTGCCAACCATTGAGACCTCGTCCACAATCAGCAGCCGCAAGCTGTGCAGCTGGGACACCATGTTGTTCAGGCGGTCCCCTGAGAGGGGAACATAGGTCAGCGACTGGTTGAAGGGCACTGCCAGAGCTGAGTGGATGGTGGAGCCACCTGGGGCAAGGCCGAGGGAAGGAGGTTGCATAGTGGGTGTGTTGGTCAGGGCAGCATGGGGCTGGCATGTCCTGCTGGGCACGAACAATGAAGTACTGTTCCTGGGTCTATGTGCAGCTCAGGCAGTGCTAGAGGGGAACCATGCTATGGTAAGTTAGGTGTAGGACGTATTTCGCACATACAAGCATATAAAAGCAGGCTGCTTAAATGCTTGGCGTGCATACCTATGCTGTACGATGCCTTGCCAGTTGGTGCTGTCAGCAGCACCCTGGGCCCATCTCCCTCCTTCTCCCCGTCCTCCCCTCGGAGGACCCGCAGTGCGCCTTGCTGGAGAGCTCTGATCAAGAAAGACTTGCCCACCCCCGCGCCTCCAGAGAGGAAGTTGATGAGCTGCTGGCTCCGGTGGAATGTCATGTGGAACATGGCGTGGTCAAAGAAGGCGCGCTGCTCCGAATTGAGCTCCCGAACGGACGCAAGGAACTGCTCGTCCGGAACAGCCTCAGCCACCAGCTGCACCTCATAAGCAGCTGGAGGGAGTCCCAGGTCAGCACCGATGTCTGCTGCGACTGGCAGGCCGTCCCCTACTAAGTCCTCCACATCACCATCAGATGCCGGCTCCCCACAGCAGCCCAGGTGCTGCTGTGCCCACCGCTGCTCCGCATCCTCTGCGAGCTGCGCCTGGGTGGCCTTCAAGACCGCTGCCCAGTTGACAGCGTCACGGTGATACTCACTGCGCTTGGCTTCTACCTGCGCCTGGACCTGCTTGAAGCGCTCAGCATATGTCTGGCTGCCAGCTAGAAGGTCGGTGTCCTCATCTCGCCAGGGCCAAAACAGGAAGAGCTGCTCTCGGTAGTAGTCCTCAGGATCAGGGCCATTGGGTGAGTAGTGCCGATAGCGTAAGATCATCTGGGTCCTACGGCGACGCATGCCTTGGACTGCACCGGGCAGGTTGGCTGCTGGTAGTGGCCCATGTACTGGAGGCGGCGGGAACTGGTTGGGAGGTGGCGTGGTGGCTACCTCAGCAGTGTCCTCTTCCTCGGACTGTTCGCCTGGTGCACCGTCCACATCCATGGCATCCGCCTCATCACCTGTACCTGCCCTGGTACCAGAGGCTTTGCTGTAGCAGGTTGCGAAGTCTGCTATGCACACCTGCTCGAGGCTGGGCAGTCGCCTCTGGTAGGCATGCACCAGACCTGGCACAAAGATGTCGTCGCTTTCTGGGTCAGCCTCCGCCAGGACCTGCAGGTCCTTGGGAGGGCGCAGCAGTTGTGTTCTGTCCTCTGGCCTTGTGGACGGCACAAATACGGACTGGCGGGATGCGGAGCGAAGGGGCAGTCCAAGAGCAAGGTACACTGCTTCCTGTGCGCTCATCTCTTGGGTGTTGACGAAAGCGTTGCCCACTTTGCGGATTCTGGACTTGAGGTTATCGTCATCATGCCGCGCCTGGTCAGCTGCGCGCTCCATGGCACGGCTGAGGCCACGGTTCGCCTTGAGCATGTACGACACAATGTACATGGCAGCACCGTACGGGTCCAAGCAGAACTGCGAGAGTGAAGGGCACGTTGGGGTCAGGATGAGAGGGATGTACACAAAGCAGAACATGAATTGCCACCTGAACTTCCTATCGTACTGAGCCCCGCAATGGAATGTTGACAGAATTGGCTGTGTGGCTGGTGCAAGTTAATCCTTCGCGAGACGGCACCGTACCTGCATGTCCATGTTTGCTCTCCAGATGCGAAGGAGGACCGGGTTGTACGGGTTGATCCGCATCTCCATGGGGGTCCGTCGAAGGAAGGCGGTCATGCGCTTAAGCGGGACACGCACAGCAGCTATGTACTCTTCAAGCGACAGGCCAGCCAAAGCCAGCAGCTGCTCCACAGTAGCGGGCGGTGGCACCTTTTCCGCATCGATATCAGCTAGCAGCTGCTTTATCTTGGCCCACCGATCAGCCATCACCTGGAAGCCATCAGCAGCCTTCTCTTCTGCGTGCATGCATTAAGTCCATGGCAGTGTTTTTGAAGTGGTTACTAGGAACCAAGGGTACTAGGAACCAAGTGGTTACTCTGAAATTAGTTCACCTCCGGAGGGTGGTTTGTAGGAAATTATTGGCCTAACCTGAAAGTTGCCAGGTGGTAACTGGGAAATTGATCACCAACCCTCCAAAGTCAGTACGCATGCAAGAGTAGATAGCAATCAACCGGTCCCAAACAGCTGGTCGCTGGCTACCTCAGCACACGGACCTCAATTGTCCAGTTGGCGTAGCACGTTCACATCCTGTCATTCCTCGTTGCCATGGTGTACGGTGATGAACATACATTACAATGCTGCACTTTAGCACTGGCATGTTAGCATGGTGTGCCGCTGGGGTGTTTATGATGATGTTGCAAGTAATGCCTTTTGTGCGGCATGGTAGCTCAGCACGTGTGTGTGACGGGGGTTTTTGGGGGCGCAGCCCCCGGAAAAGTATGGGTGGTTACCAAGGAAACACCCTGAAAGGCCCATAGTAACCACTTGGCGCCCAAAACATAGCCCTGTCATCGCTTCGGTGGCACACAGCTATTATATATAATTTGACCCAGGAATTGTTGTTGACCTGTATTGCTTGGGTTTCTAGTTTGGGCATGCGCAGTTACCCAAGTTGTGGTACCTTGTCTCACCGTCCGTGTACGGATGGAGGATGCGTGTGACATCCATGGGTGCACGTGGGAACTCAAACCGACAGTCGTGAGGATCGTACTTGAAGCAGGTTGCCCGGTGGTCATGGGTCTGCAGCTTCACCAGCTCCGCCTCTACCGCCGTGGCACTGCACGTGATGTAGGTGTCGATGTAGCGCACAATCTCTGCCTCGTTTGTGCCATCATAGACTGGTGGGGCATCCATGGTCCACACAAGCCCGTGCTCATGTGGTGACCCTGCAACCAATGCGTAACAATGGGTCAGTGGTTGGGGGTCTGCGTGCAAGAGGAAAAGCAAGGATCATGTCCACAGCGGTTTGCAGGAGAGGGAGTGGCAGGAGTGGCATGTGGGTGGACGGCTTGCTGGGTGTGGGTAGGTGAATGGGACGCATCTTGCATGGGTGATTGAGGGTGGGTGGGTTAGGGTTTTCGTGCTGGGGTTGGTTTGGTATGGTAACACATGCAAGATGGGGAGTGCAAGGAATGTGTGTGGAGTGGAATGTTAGGACTGGTGAAGGAGGAAAGTGCAGAGGAATGGAAAGGTATAGCAAGTACAGCGGGCGGGTGTTTATGAGTGGAGCTTGTTGGAGGCAGCTCCTCTACACTCCCAATCCCCTACAACCCCTACCCAGCGTGTACTGCAATGCCCACATGTGTGTTTATCAATGCATCAGTGGCTCGGATGCTCAGCATGTTCCTTCCCTGGGTTCCTACCTCGGTGCTGGAATTCTACACGCCAGAAGTAGTCTTGCATGCCACCTATGGCTGAGGGGCACCCGGCTAACGCAATGCGTTTGAAGGCATCAACACGGTGCTTGAAGTACCAAGCGGTAGTCACAGGGTCATTTCGAACCAGGTCCATCCGCTGGGTTGCTGTCAAGGCAGCAAGGTTATCATCGCTGAGGGGCTGCCCATGCTGCTGCTCGTACAGGCATCGTAGGAGGTCTGGCCACTGGAGGTCTGCGGCAGATAGAGTCATGAAGAAGGTTGGCTGGCCTAGCTGCCGCAGCATCGCAAACAAGTCCTTTTTGGCCTTGTCCCAGTAGTCGGGGCTTTCTCGTAGCTGCTTGAAGTCCCGGTATGCAGCATCGGTACGGATGAGGTCCTGCAGGACCTCCTCGTTTGCCACCTGACGGACCAGAGGAATAACGTTTCTTGCATGAGTTGTAATGGCAGGGCATCGACTAGTACCAACTGTTGTGTTGATATTGTTCAGGGCTGTTTTAGGGTACAAGTGACACGTGGGTCAGCCCAACAGGTCTGATGTACATTCCTGTGTACTCCCTGCAATGTCCTGTTCCCAATTCACCCCAAGTATTTGACACATTGCGCACCTGGCTGGCCTTTATGGACTGGCCTCCAAGTTTGGCCTTCCGAACACGGATGTTGGCAGCATTCCGGACTTGGAGACACTGCAGCTTTTTGACCTTGAAAAAGATGTTGGTGATGTTGGCAGCACAGCGAGCATCACATCGCATGAGTTCGCTCTTAACAATGTCGCTGTACGCCAGGGGTACCTGTCGCGCCGCATTGCTTGGCCGGGGATGGCCGCAGAATATTGTGGGGAAGGCCATCTCCTCAGCATGCTCATCCATAATGATGCCCAGCGGGTCGCTGCCCTCGCCTGGCGCGACAGCATGCAACTTGTGGGCTTCCGTGGCAGCGTTGGTAATTGGCTGCAGCATGGTTTCGGTTTCATGTAGCTGCGTATCCTCCTCCCCTGCATAACGGTTGGGCTGCGTACCGGCTGCAATGAAGGGGAAGAGCGTGCATGCATATGTTAGGTACTATACTTGGATCAGTCCGGCATAGCATTGGCAAACGCATAAATGCTAATGTTGACTGTGCAACCAATGTAGCCTTCTTGTGCTGGGTGGTGACACTGCCCATGCACCCACCCGATCATTTCGTGTGGCTGTGCTGGCTACAAAGGAACAAAGTGGACCCACCTTTGAAGTAGATAGGGTCTCCATTGTCGTCCACATGCCATGACCCTGGCTCCGCAAAGGTCTGGTTGTGACTGTCACCGATGGTTTGTGGCAGGTCGCATCCACCACATCGGCTGGCATACACCTCACGGAAGGGAGTGCCAGAATACGCCTGATGCCCCCACTCCACAAACTCTTCGGTACACAGCTGGCCCAGCTTCGCCCGTAGCCATTGCCGCTGCTTGTCTGTGAGGGCTGCTTCCTCTGCCGCCATGCTTGCTTCCAGCGCCTCTGCAGCTTGCAGCACCTCGGTAGGTGTTGCATCCGTGTCAGGAAGGCCATCCCCCTCTGCAATTCGTGGTAGGGCAAATGATTGATGTTGTGTTTGCCTATAGGTTATAGGGTGCCTCATGTAAGAATGGTCATGGAATAGCCAGATAGGATACTATGCAGCCATAATGTTTGATTTCTGTACCTGCTTCACAGCACCCCGCTTAACTTGCATATGTACCCTTCCTACCTGAGAGCCCAGTGTCAAATTGTGAAAGCCATTCCTCCTCATTTGCCATGTGAGCGTCATGGTAGAGGGGTGTTCGCGCAAGGTACCGTAATGCGCCAAGGACAGCTTGGGGTTGGATCATCTGGCGCATGAAGGTCCGCTTGTACTGCAGTTTGCGTTTCAAGCCAACCAGTACGGTTTCGCTGTCGTCGAGGTGCCGCGGCAGCATCTGCTGTACGCGAGTTAAGTCAACGGGGACGTTCACAACAGATCCTAAGGGCGAGGGGCAGGTTGAGGGCAGATGTTTGGGTCAGGCGGGTTGGGAGAAGGCTAGCTACGGCCTGATTTGGAAAGACAATTTGGAGTGCGTGGTAAGGGTACGGTGAGTGCAGATAGTTGGGTCGGTAGGATGTAAAGTAAGATAAAATTACTGACAACTTACCCCGGAGGCCATGTTGATGCCCAGCAGGAAGCCTCCTTAACTGGAGGAAAATAATCCGCCTAGCAATGAGCCTTTCTGCTAGCTCTGGAATGCCCTGAAGCTCGACTGGCACATCCGGGAATCCAAGCCCATTGTCTACAGCGAATCGCGGGCAGCGATCCCTACGGATGCTATTTAAGCATGTATGGCATATATGCCCTATGCCAGTTCGGGCTACCCATCCTGCAAGGTTTGTTGCCCACACTTCGCTGAGGGTGTCATACATGGTATCCGTGACCTCCACCACTGAATGCTTGAACAGACGTCGCTCACAGCAGCAGCATGCGAACGAGCAGGTTTGGGAGAACGCTTCTCTGCACGCCTTCTCAGCAGCTTCGACACACGAGTGCGTGCTGGTGGTCGGGAGCCCAAGGCCATCGGAATCCACATCTGCCTCCACATCTGCCCTGTTCTCGGTGCTGGGTTCATCTTCATCTGAAAGGGCATGGCGCGAACCCAAATCTCCGTCATCTATGTATCTCAAGCAGAAAGTGTGCACTAAGGCTTATCCAACGTTTGTGCGCTTAAATGAAGGCCGGAGCTATAGAACCTTTGTCAATGCCCCACAACTAGCAAATATTGGCAAACAACCAATAACCCACCAATGTCACCATCCTCCACACCGCTATTGTTGCTGACGTTTCCATTATCCTCTGATGAACATAGAAGACGCTGAGCTTTCGCCAACTGCCGAAGTCGGTAGTGCACTTGATGGTACGTGGCAGCACTTCCATTCAACTCTTTTACGACAGCGCCCGCTGTTACTTTTCTGTTGGTGGATTGTAGCGTGAGCACTGCTTCCTGAAACGCTGCTTCATCGTCCGGAGTCCACTTTGCACGCTTCTTCGAAGGCTGAGTGGTAGCGTTGGGCCTAGGCCGGATATACTTTTGCACGGCTTTGTTGTATTGCAAAAAGTTGAGAACACGTTTATACGTCAAGCCCTTCAAGCGCGTGTCGGAGCACACTTCATCATGCAGTAGCTTGGCAGTAAGTTTCAGTCCGCTAGAAGCAATAGTCTCGGCTGCTTTACACAGAGCCTCAACTTCATATGTTTTCCTGCATTCCCTGGCCATTGTGTGTATTGAGTAAGGAAGGCAATTACGAAGCCATTGGTGTCGGCCCTATTAAACTACGCTGCTGGCCTTACCGCGACAACAACCTAACGGATACCAACGTGTAGCAAGCTATCGACATGAGCTTAAGGCCTCTTCTTTTGTAACTTGCTTTGTACTTTGTACGGCACAGGCCAACATCACTGCTCACCCATATACACATCATTATTTTAACATCACAATACAACAAACACCTGTGCAATGATTATGTGACGAACGCTGCAGCTAGAAACTCCTCTCAACTCATAACAATCGTTCTTGACTTGGAGCCACAGCGCAGGTTGTCTTTGTGACTTGCATATACACATTCAAATTCCAAACCTTTTGCACGAAAAAGATGCCAAAAAGCTCACGCGAAAACTTGTTAAATTTGCCGGGGTGTTCACTAAGGCTGTTCCCTTGCTTCCAAGCCGCGGCCTAGCGGAGCGCCTTGAATCAAGGGCAGGCCAAAAAAGCGCAAAACGCCGTCACGGGGAATCGAACCCCGGCCTCCCGCGGGCAGTTTCTGGTTGACAGGCGGGGATACTAACCACTATACGATGACGACCCCATTGCCCCGGCATTGCCGGGCTGTCTGCTCTTGTCTACACTAGAAAAAGTTTCGCTACCGGGACTCGAACTCGATCTCGTATCCTAACCGCCTAGACTATAGCGAACCACCTTTGGTGTTGATGTCTATGGTGACAAATGGACGTTTATGAAGAGGTTGCACACTTTTGGGGGGTGCCTGATGGTGTAGGGGCGGTGGGGGGGGATGTGCTGCACAGATTGCCTACGTTGGTCCTTGCTCAGCCAGCAAATGTATGTTGCGCTGTGGGTGAGACATTGATGCTATACAATAGGATGAAAGTATGCCTACCTGTCATGCATGTTATGTATGCCCCTTCTTCTCTAGCTGTGTCTGTAATGCAAGGTGTGTGTGTGTGTGTGTGTGTGTGTGTGTGTGTGTGTGTGTGTGTGTGTGTGTGTGTGTGTGTGTGTGTGTGTGTGTGTGTGTGTGTGTGTGTGTGTGTGTGTGTGTGTGTGTGTGTGTGTGTGTGTGTGTGTGTGTGTGTGTGTGTGTGTGTGTGTGTGTGTGTGTGTGTGTGTGTGTGTGTGTGTGTGTGTGTGTGTGTGTGTGTGTGTGTGTGTGTGTGTGTGTGTGTGTGTGTGTGTGTGTGTGTGTGTGTGTGTGTGTGTGTTGTGTGTGTGTGTGTGTGTGTGTGTGTGTGTGTGTGTGTGTGTGTGTGTGTGTGTGTGTGTGTGTGTGTGTGTGTGTGTGTGTGTGTGTGTGTGTGTGTGTGTGTGTGTGTGTGTGTGTGTGTGTGTGTGTGTGTGTGTGTGTGTGTGTGTGTGTGTGTGTGTGTGTGTGTGTGTGTGTGTGTGTGTGTGTGTGTTAAAATAACTGGCCGCGAGGCGAAACGTACTGTGATTGCCGAAAGATGGAGTCCTCCCACCGAAAACGCCACAGGTGAAGTGAAGTCCATTGGCTATGTTGTAATAGAGCTATCGAGGAGTATCGGAAGCAGTGTAAAGCAGTAATAGCAATGTCGTAACGCGACCGGACCTAAGGACCGGAGTAGTAAGTAGGTAGGTATAAGTAACCGTCACTGTCGTGTGTAAACTGGATGTAGAGAAGCTGTAGCTGTCGCTGAACAGGGGTAAAAGCAGGGGTGATGCCAAGACGTTGCAGTGCATGCTCGAGCAAAGCATGACAGGAAAAACAAGTGCAGGACCACTATGTGCGTATGCGAATATTACCGTAGACTGACCTGCAAGGCAGGGAGAACCAGCAGCCAGCAGCGAACACACCAGTAGTCAGTACCGAAGAAGGTTGTCGGAAGGACATGCGAGGGCAAATGGGAAAACAGGGACACACGTGAGCGCGGCCGGAAGCTACCTAGTAAACGAATGACTGGAATGCAAGGGTGCGTGTGATGAAAAGTGGGACATGGAATGATGTACGACATGCAGTACAAACAAGGGGGATCCGGAGCGAAGAACTGGCGCACACAAAGGGGGTAAAAGGAGGTGATGGACTGGTGTGCTGGCTCACGAAGAGCTCCCCACAGCACCAGACCCCGAGTGCCACGACGCATATGGGCACCAGGGGTTGTAAGCCAGGCAACGAGGGTGCAAGCAAGCAAGGAGCATGCGACAAAGGGGAGCAAGACAGCATGAATACGAGTGCACCAAGGGGGATAGGCAGTATCAGAGAAAGGGCCCCAAGGGAAAGGGACACCTGAGCTCCATCAGCTACTGCTGGGGACAAGCCCCAACCCCAGCCCCGAACCCCATCCCAACCCTTGACCCCGTTCCCCACAAAGTTTTCCCCGGCCAGGAGCCTGGACTGGCCGGGGAAAAAACCCGGCGGCACAGACAATGCCGCCGGGGCGCCAGCAGGGAGCCCAGAGCCCTGCGCATGGCGCACAGACGCGATGACACGTAGTCGGTTGACATCTTGACGGGTAGACACGTTGACAGGTAGACACGTGGACAGGTAGACACGTGGACAGGTAGACACGTTGACAGGTAGACACGTTGACAGGTAGACACGTTGGCGGTAGTCACGTGGACGGACCCCAAAGGAAGGCCCCCTCCCCGCTCCCAGCTAGCGGGGGAGGGCGTACACCCGGTCGTGGATGCGGAACTCCAGCGGCCGATTGCCAGCGCGACGGGCATGCCAGTGGGCAGTAGGGTGCAGGCGACACATCTCCGAGCAGGCGTGCAGCAGGCGTCGGAAAGGGTAACCTGACCGCGCCAGGTCCCGGATGAGCAGCGCCACCTCGGCAATAAAGTTGTCCACATCCAGGATGATGCCGCGAAGGGGCTGAAACTGGCTGGCGAAGATGTTGCGCTTGGCCTGCTCATTGACATTAGAGGAGGCCGGCACAAACCGGGACAGCCGGATGTCTCCGAAAGCCGGCTGTTGCCGCTTGTCATAGAGATGGGTTGTAAAGCGGCTGTAGGAGGCCCCATGGACGACCGTAGGCTGATGGACCAGCAGGATATCCAGGAAGGGGAAGTGGTGGGCCGGGAGATGTGGGTGCTGCTGGGCTGGGATATCCAACTGGGAGGGGTAAAGGCCGTGAAGTCCCGTGGCCTCATCGACCACGTCACACCGGAGCAGCCTGGTGAGGAAGGCATTGTTGAGGGAGATAAGGTCGTCCAGAAACCGGGTGGTGTACCGGAAGCGGGAGAGGGCGGCCCGGGCGGCGCTGGCCTTAGCAGGCACGGGAGGCTGCTTGTACTGCTGCAGGAACTGGAACTCGTACCACCCCAGGAAGAGGTTGGCGATGTAGGGAGCCGGGGGGATGCCCATGGGGATACCACAGATCTGCAGCACCAGCAGCGGCCCGAAGCGCACGAAGGACGTGGCGAGAAGAGTGGCGAAGAAGGTGTTGAAGTCGTCCAGGGTAATAACGGGTGGTGGTGGTGGCGGTATGGGTGACGCGAACAGGGGGAACGTCCGCCGTGGACCACGTAACCTCGTGATCCGGGGTCTGGTCCTCACGCCCGGGCGGGGCCGCCGTAGTCACGACCTGGAGGCAACTGGCATTCTCGTGTTGAAAACACGCGGCGGCCAGGGAGGCGAAGGTGCTGCGGAGGAGGGAGTGGGGGATGTTGGTGTAGAGCCGGGTAAAGTCGTGCATCTGTGGCATCGTAAAGGTGGTGGAGGTGGTACGGTACTGCTTGGCGTTGTAGGAGTGCAGCATCGAGATGACGGCCTTGGAATTTAAGCACAGCCAGGGCTCGAACCGGGAGTCCAGGGTCTTGGCCCACAGGGAGTTGAAGGTTTTGGCGAGGGTGGCGAAGATGGGCACAGAGAAGGTGGTGAGGGGGGTGGAGGGGCAGTTGTGGGAACAGCTGAGGAAGCGCATCTGGGGTGGCTGCTTATGCATCTTGACGGTGCCGGAGTAGTAGGCATCCTCGCGTGTGGCCGCGGCATACGCTAAGTCAAGATGGGCAAGGGAGACGTTGGCGGCGGCATAGGCGGCGTCTCGGGCCTCCACGGTACTGGGCTGGTAATAATGGGGGTTGGAGGTGATGTCCGTGAAGAGGCGCTCCGCGTAGTACTGTGGGCAAATCAGCTGAAAGGTTGCACTGCTTTTGTCCGTAACCGCGATGATAAAGTCAGCCCTGAGCTGCCGAAGGGCGGCGCGATCCGCGTCCGACAGGATTTGCCAGGGGAAGGGGGAGGGAGGGGGATGGAGGTCGAGGTGCTGGCGGAGAAGGCTCATAAAGGTCGCAGCCCAGGGTTGCAGGGCGTCCGGGGCTAAGTTGGCGGCACGGGTGCGGGTCTGGGCGAAGCGCAGGACGTGGGCTTGAACGTCGGCGAGGACCTCATCGAAGGGTGGGGAGGGGAGGTGGGGGCGGTGGCGGGCGCCGGCGTTCCAAAGCTCGCGGAGGCGGGGCGGAAGGACGTCATCGGAGGGCGTGGTTGTCATGACGTGGGCGCTACCAGGCGGGCACATGGAGGGGTGGAGGTGGCAGCGGCAGGGGGCGGACTGGAGGGCTTGGTACGTCTCGGAGGTAAGGGTTTTCGCAAACTGGGCGGTGTTGGAGAAGAGGACGTACAGCGGTGGAGCCTTGGTCCAGTGGATGGGTGGGGCGAGAGGGAGACCGGGAGGGAGGTGAGCACGGAGGATGGGGTGGCGAAGGAGGCGGTAGAGGTCAGGCTGGGTGATCCACTGGCGCAGCGCATGAGGCAGCCATATCCGGGCGTTGATGTCAGGAGCGGGCTGCTTGGCCTCGACCGCCAGCGCCTGCAAACGGGTCCCAAGGTACTTGAGGAACCAGGAAGCGAACTCCGCGGATATTTCTAAGGCTGCAGGGGGGTAGTAGGTGAGATGGGCGTACAGGGCGTGAAGCGTTCTGGGGACGAAGCGCTGGAGCTCCGCAACCGGGATATGAGACCCCAGGTCAATAAACCGGCGATCCAGGAAGCGCAGGCGGCGAATGGCATCCCGGAAACCAAACCAGCGCCGCCGGCTGGCCCGGCCGGCGAAAAAGCCGCCGAGGGGGTCCCATGTAAGGGAAGCATCCGGGGGATCCGCCATATAGCGGACTTCAATGCGAGTATTAAGGCCGGCGGAGTGGAGTGGAGGGAGGGAACCGAGGCGCTGCATCCACACCATTTCGCGGGCCTCCGCGATATCGCGAACGGACGCTGCGCTGAGGTTAGCACACGGAATGGCTTCGAGGGGGAAGACGATGAGGTCCCGTAGCCCGCGGCCCCAGAGGTGTCGATGGAACCGTGATGCTGCTAACCCTCGTTGCGCAGACCGTGCTGTCTCGCGAACAAGACCATTCACTAGGAGCAAAATGTCAGCCACCGCTAAAGGGGGGTGACCTCACCTGGGAATGACACAAGCTCCTAGGCTACCAGTAACCCGAGCTTACATCCACTGCGGCTTGTGCAGCTCAGGAGCATGCGCATGAGATGTGGATAGTAGCCCTATATATAGCATGATGGCTAGCCACGTGGCGGTGAAGCAGCAGTTGCCTACCATCTGAAAGCTTGTTTGTAGAATCTGCACTGAACTCTCCACCGCCGAGACCCATGTTGCTCCATTCCTCCATTCCTGGCATTCTCAATGGGCTGTTCCTACCGCAAGCGTGTGCAATTCAGAAGTGTGCACGCAAGAGCCGCTGATGCTCAGTTATGGCAGCAAGTCGGACGCCCAAAGCAAAATGCCACTATTGTACTTTTGTAGAGAGCCGTTTTCATAGGCACAATTCCATCGGTTTATATCTCGTTGCAAAGGCCCCGTGTTGGTCTGAAAGTTATTAGCCCACTCGTGTGTGTGTGTGCGTGGCTGGCTGCACATTATTCACCATGGTAGGCACAGAAGTCGGTGCGGTTTTTGGCCTGCCCTTGATTCCAGGCGCTCCGCTAGGCCGCGGCTTGGAAGCAAGGTAACAGCCTTAGTGAAGAACCCGGCCGATTTCAGGAATTTTTCTCCGAAACCACCGAAAGTCTAATCCGTTGCTTTCAAGGTGTGCCTTTTCAAACTATTCAATAACATAAAGTTATGAAACTAACAGAGAAATGGATAGGCTAATGGAATACAAAACAAGTCTCCTGTACTTTGGTAACCTGCCCAGAAGCAAACGTTTACGCATACTTGTAGTGCTGACTATGGACATGTCAATATGGCATTTGCACAGAGCAAGAAGCATTGAGTTAATGAGACCAATGTCGTACCTTGCCACCAGCGCACTAGAAGCCGTGTATGCTTTGATTAGTTCAAGACCTTCGTGCCTTAACAACTTGAAAGCCTTCTAGCCTTCCCTTGGTGTTTACCGGTAATCATAGCACCTTTACCTTTCAAGTACTTGTTTGCGCCGACACTTATGGCTTGAAGCATACCAAACAATGGGACGATTGAGTAGAAGTGCACAACAAATAGAGTCGTTGTGTACAGCCGCAGAGGCCATACTTGCGCGCGGCAGTAAACTCAGTGCTAAGGTCTTGTTGAACGAAGTTCGTGGTAACCCACATTGCACTGACTTGACTTATAGATCTGCCAATAACTTTCTACATCGCAACAAAGTTGGGCAGCAGTATATGCGCCCTTCTCCCAACGACAATAGTCTTCCACCAAAGAAGCGATTAAGATGGACTGCTGTTGACGAGGCGGCCTTTCAGGAAGCGGTTGTTACCATCCAGTCGACCAGCAATAAACTGACTGCTAGCAATATTGCAAAGGAGCTGAAAGGCAGTGCAGCTTCATACGACCAACTTCGTTACCGTCTTCGGAAATTGACAGTCGCTAAGCACAACATTGAAGAAACGCCTGATTTGGGTGTTGTTGGCAGCAGGAGTAGAGATGAAGAGTTTGTTAATGGTAAGTTGAACCCACAACAACACATTCGTTAACGTTGTATCAACAGTTTTGTAGCGGTGACAGGAAGTAAACATACTAAACCATGTTCTTGTAGATGAGGGCGAAACTGACAACGAGGACGTGCCAGGAGATGTTGCCCATGACCATGTGCAATCTTCCATGCACTGTTGCATCGAAGCTGCAGAGGAAGCCTGCAAAACAGCCTTTGCCGAAACGTGCTCGTATGCGTGCTGCTGCTGCGACCGCAGACTGTTTAAGCATTCGGTTGTGGAGGTCACGGACAGCTTGTACAACACCCTCTGTGAGCCATGGGCAACAAATGTTGCAGGATGGGTTACGCGTGGTGGCTCGGGGCATATATGCCATACGTGCTTAGGCAGCATCCGTAGGGATCGCTGCCCACGGTTTTCAGTTGACAACGGGCTTGGATTCCCAGACATTCCTGACGAGCTTCAAGGCATCCCTGAGCTGTCAGAGAGGCTCATTGCCAGGCGTGTACCCTTCCTGCAGTTGCGAAGGCTTCCAGCTGGGCAACAGCATGGCCTACGAGGTAGGATTTGCTTCATGCCACAGTGTACCTTTTCTGTCCCACAGACAAGCATATGCTTTGAACCCCCCCACTGCTACTTTGGACTGTGCGTCCACTCCAAGCAACCCCTCCTGCCAAAATGCTTATCCGCTGTTGCGCTGCAATGCAAAACCTTCACACTGCTCAACTGCCTGAATCCTGTGAACACAACCCCGCCGTTTTCATTAAACGGCCACTCATGTGGCCTTGGCTTCTTTAACGTCCGCACCTGTCTCCTTCACGTATGCCCAAACTTGCCAACTATGTCAGGGTCGGTCGTCAATGTCCCAGCAGACTTAACCCGCGTCCAGCAGATGCTACCACGCCACCTCGACGACAGTGAAACCGTTCTGGTCGGCCTGAGCCCGAACCTGTACCTGTACTGGGAGGGTGGATCACACGCCGTTGGCGAAAGAAATATTGGGGTACAGCTGGGTGGACTTGCAAGTGGTACCTGGTAACGCGTCGCTGGGCAACCGCAGTATTGGTCATGGTAACAAGCGAGAACGGACTGCCGCTGTTCAGCGCGCCGTCATTACACATGCAACGCAGCCCTATCTGTAACTGTACCTAACAGCATGACCGAACCGCTGCAGTCCGACCACACACACTACTATACACAACTATACACAACACATGGGCAGGCCATGAGATTGCTTCGGTCTGGTTGTGATGTCTTCCAGGGTACCCTTCACTCCGGGATCCTTATCAATCGTGCGTTAATTAGCAGACGGTATGTAAATGTGATTGGGGTCTGACCCTGTAATAATCTTGTTGGGTAGGGTTGTCAAGGGGTCGCTGTGGTAGGTGCAGAGTTCAGTGTGCAAGCAGTGTATAATCGACAGCAGCCCTTTCATTTAATAGCTCGCAAGTGTTGGCTCACCGCTCCCACACAGCCAGCCACCTGCTGGCCAAGCTTAAGTGCATGTGCCTTTATTCAGTTAAACATTACGCAAGTATCTGCACCCACTCCTACTTGCCCTGGGTGTCAACACACTCACCGCACATGCATGCTGTGATGATGAGCTGCATGACAATGCTGTCAGCTTTCTCAACGCCATAGTGAGGCACCGAAGGCGGATGGAACGAGTCCTCCCCCAAGAAGACCCAGGAGGCCAACGCCCACCAAAATACCACTAGCTACTACTCCATTGCTGTACATGTGGTGAAGGATGTACAGTGGAGGGGGAACCCGTCAACCTTCACCACAGCCCGCCCCCTTAAGGCACGCCAGGGCAAGCCCGGTGTAATTAATTATTGCATGTGCCTTTCACATGAGACACATTGGGTGTAAGCGCAGGTTACTGGCCGGCTAGGGGTATCCGTCAGCCCCAATCATTATAGTGTGGTTTGCAACAAGACCATTCACTAGGAGCAAAATGTCAGCCACCGCTAAAGGGGGGTGACCTCACCTGGGAATGACACAAGCTCCTAGGCTACCAGTAACCCGAGCTTACATCCACTGCGGCTTGTGCAGCTCAGGAGCATGCGCATGAGATGTGGATAGTAGCCCTATATATAGCATGATGGCTAGCCACGTGGCGGTGAAGCAGCAGTTGCCTACCATCTGAAAGCTTGTTTGTAGAATCTGCACTGAACTCTCCACCGCCGAGACCCATGTTGCTCCATTCCTCCATTCCTGGCATTCTCAATGGGCTGTTCCTACCGCAAGCGTGTGCAATTCAGAAGTGTGCACGCAAGAGCCGCTGATGCTCAGTTATGGCAGCAAGTCGGACGCCCAAAGCAAAATGCCACTATTGTACTTTTGTAGAGAGCCGTTTTCATAGGCACAATTCCATCGGTTTATATCTCGTTGCAAAGGCCCCGTGTTGGTCTGAAAGTTATTAGCCCACTCGTGTGTGTGTGTGCGTGGCTGGCTGCACATTATTCACCATGGTAGGCACAGAAGTCGGTGCGGTTTTTGTGATGTCTTCCAGGGTACCCTTCACTCCGGGATCCTTATCAATCGTGCGTTAATTAGCAGACGGTATGTAAATGTGATTGGGGTCTGACCCTGTAATAATCTTGTTGGGTAGGGTTGCCAAGGGGTCGCTGTGGTAGGTGCAGAGTTCAGTGTGCAAGCAGTGTATAATCGACAGCAGCCCTTTCATTTAATAGCTCGCAAGTGTTGGCTCACCGCTCCCACACAGCCAGCCACCTGCTGGCCAAGCTTAAGTGCATGTGCCTTTATTCAGTTAAACATTACGCAAGTATCTGCACCCACTCCTACTTGCCCTGGGTGTCAACACACTCACCGCACATGCATGCTGTGATGATGAGCTGCATGACAATGCTGTCAGCTTTCTCAACGCCATAGTGAGGCACCGAAGGTGGATGGAACGAGTCCTCCCCCAAGAAGACCCAGGAGGCCAACGCCCACCAAAATACCACTAGCTACTACTCCATTGCTGTACATGTGGTGAAGGATGTACAGTGGAGGGGGAACCCGTCAACCTTCACCACAGCCCGCCCCCTTAAGGCACGCCAGGGCAAGCCCGGTGTAATTAATTATTGCATGTGCCTTTCACATGAGACACATTGGGTGTAAGCGCAGGTTACTGGCCGGCTAGGGGTATCCGTCAGCCCCAATCATTATAGTAGTGTGGTTTGCAACAAGACCATTCACTAGGAGCAAAATGTCAGCCACCGCTAAAGGGGGGTGACCTCACCTGGGAATGACACAAGCTCCTAGGCTACCAGTAACCCGAGCTTACATCCACTGCGGCTTGTGCAGCTCAGGAGCATGCGCATGAGATGTGGATAGTAGCCCTATATATAGCATGATGGCTAGCCACGTGGCGGTGAAGCAGCAGTTGCCTACCATCTGAAAGCTTGTTTGTAGAATCTGCACTGAACTCTCCACCGCCGAGACCCATGTTGCTCCATTCCTCCATTCCTGGCATTCTCAATGGGCTGTTCCTACCGCAAGCGTGTGCAATTCAGAAGTGTGCACGCAAGAGCCGCTGATGCTCAGTTATGGCAGCAAGTCGGACGCCCAAAGCAAAATGCCACTATTGTACTTTTGTAGAGAGCCGTTTTCATAGGCACAATTCCATCGGTTTATATCTCGTTGCAAAGGCCCCGTGTTGGTCTGAAAGTTATTAGCCCACTCGTGTGTGTGTGTGCGTGGCTGGCTGCACATTATTCACCATGGTAGGCACAGAAGTCGGTGCGGTTTTTGTGATGTCTTCCAGGGTACCCTTCACTCCGGGATCCTTATCAATCGTGCGTTAATTAGCAGACGGTATGTAAATGTGATTGGGGTCTGACCCTGTAATAATCTTGTTGGGTAGGGTTGCCAAGGGGTCGCTGTGGTAGGTGCAGAGTTCAGTGTGCAAGCAGTGTATGATCGACAGCAGCCCTTTCATTTAATAGCTCGCAAGTGTTGGCTCACCGCTCCCACACAGCCAGCCACCTGCTGGCCAAGCTTAAGTGCATGTGCCTTTATTCAGTTAAACATTACGCAAGTATCTGCACCCACTCCTACTTGCCCTGGGTGTCAACACACTCACCGCACATGCATGCTGTGATGATGAGCTGCATGACAATGCTGTCAGCTTTCTCAACGCCATAGTGAGGCACCGAAGGCGGATGGAACGAGTCCTTCCCCCAGAAGACCCAGGAGGCCAACGCCCACCAAAATACCACTAGCTAGTACTCCATTGCTGTACATGTGGTGAAGGATGTACAGTGGAGGGGGAACCCGTCAACCTTCACCACAGCCCGCCCCCTTAAGGCACGCCAGGGCAAGCCCGGTGTAATTAATTATTGCATGTGCCTTTCACATGAGACACATTGGGTGTAAGCGCAGGTTACTGGCCGGCTAGGGGTATCCGTCAGCCCCAATCATTATAGTAGTGTGGTTTGCAACAAGACCATTCACTAGGAGCAAAATGTCAGCCACCGCTAAAGGGGGGTGACCTCACCTGGGAATGACACAAGCTCCTAGGCTACCAGTAACCCGAGCTTACATCCACTGCGGCTTGTGCAGCTCAGGAGCATGCGCATGAGATGTGGATAGTAGCCCTATATATAGCATGATGGCTAGCCACGTGGCGGTGAAGCAGCAGTTGCCTACCATCTGAAAGCTTGTTTGTAGAATCTGCACTGAACTCTCCACCGCCGAGACCCATGTTGCTCCATTCCTCCATTCCTGGCATTCTCAATGGGCTGTTCCTACCGCAAGCGTGTGCAATTCAGAAGTGTGCACGCAAGAGCCGCTGATGCTCAGTTATGGCAGCAAGTCGGACGCCCAAAGCAAAATGCCACTATTGTACTTTTGTAGAGAGCCGTTTTCATAGGCACAGTTCTATCAGTTTATATCTCGTTGCAAAGGCCCCGTGTTGGTCTGAAAGATATTAGCCCACTCGTGTGTGTGTGTGCGTGGCTGGCTGCACATTATTCACCATGGTAGGCACAGAAGTCGGTGCGGTTTTTGTGATGTCTTCCAGGGTACCCTTCACTCCGGGATCCTTATCAATCGTGTGTTAATTAGCAGACGGTATGTAAATGTGATTGGGGTCTGACCCTGTAATAATCTTGTTGGGTAGGGTTGTCAAGGGGTCGCTGTGGTAGGTGCAGAGTTCAGTGTGCAAGCAGTGTATAATCGATAGCAGCCCTTTCATTTAATAGCTCGCAAGTGTTGGCTCACCGCTCCCACACAGCCAGCCACCTGCTGGCCAAGCTTAAGTGCATGTGCCTTTATTCAGTGCCTTTATTCAGTTACACATTACGCAAGTATCTGCACCCACTCCTACTTGTCCTGGGTGTCAACACCCAGGCAGCGGGCTCAGCGGGCTGCGCTGCTTGCGCGCTTGCATGCAATGGGCGGGGGTGTTGTGGCAGTGAACAGGCAGGCGGTGGGTGTTGGCGCGCAGCAGCAGATGGCTATGGTGGAGCAGGCTCAGCGGGCTGCGCTGCTTGCGCGCTTGCATGCAATGGGCGGGGGCGTTGTGGCGGTGAACGGGCAGGCGGTGGGTGTTGGCGCACAGCAGCAGATGGCTATGGTGGAGCAGGCTCAGTCGGCTGCGCTGCTTGCGTGCTTGCATGCAATGGGCGGGGGCGTTGTGGCGGTGAACGGGCAGGCGGTGGGTGTTGGCGCGCAGCAGCAGATGGCTATGGTGGAGCAGGCTCAGCGGGCTGCGCTGCTTGCGCGCTTGCATGCAATGGGCGGGGGCGTTGCGGCGGTGAACGGGCAGGCGGTGGGTGTTGGCGCGCAGCAGCAGATGGCTATGGTGGAGCAGGCTCAGTGGGCTGCGCTGCTTGCGCGCTTGCATGCAATGGGCAGGGGCGTTGCGGCGGTGAACGGGCAGGCGGTGGGTGTTGGCGCGCAGCAGAGACGGCTTTGGTGGAGCAGGCTCAGCGGGCTGCGCTGCTTGCGCGCTTGCATGCAATGGGCGGGGGCGTTGCGGCGGTGAACGGGCAGGCGGTGGGTGTTGGCGCGCAGCAGCAGATGGCTATGGTGGAGCAGGCTCAGTGGGCTGCGCTGCTTGCGCGCTTGCATTCAATGGGCGGGGGCGTTGCGGCGGTGAACGGGCAGGCGGTGGGTGTTGGCGCGCAGCAGAGACGGCTTTGGTGGAGCAGGCTCAGCGGGCTGCGCTGCTTGCGCGCTTGCATGCAATCTGAATGCACGGCAGTTGGGCTGA